TGCTTGCTTGACTTGTGTTTCATCTTCACTGTTTTCAGTAGTGATACCATTTTCAGCATTTTCCCCTGAGGCTGTGTACATGGCGGAGTTTTCAGCATGGATCAGATCAGATACAGAATATACATAAGCGACCTCTGGGGTGGGGATATCGTTGTTATTTGCCATATAATAATGCTCATTTGTGCTTGTATGTTCGACTTCATTGTCAGCTACATATATAGCCTCCAACATGTCTTCTTTTTTTACTAGAACAGTAGTGCTTTCTGTGTACGGCACATTTTTACTACTTACATACTAGTTACATACTTTTTCATTGTGATTGTGTTGGCAAAGATAAACAAGGTATTATTTCAGGGCTTAAACTACCATCTGCATAATACATGAAGGTTAGTGCAGGTAAAATTGAAGCTGTGTAAGTATTTCTGAGGCATATCTGCACCTAACCTGCACTGGGCCGTGTACTGGGTATATGCAGGTTAGTGCAGGTAAAACTGGACCTGTGCAGATATATCTGATGTCTAGTACCTGTACCTAAGCCGCATTAGATTGTTATAAAAATTATAGTTGGGAGAAAAACAGTTCTGATCCAGCTCTGTATAAGGCAGACTAATTATAGGATTGAGAATTGTTAAATGTTATACATGTTTCATGTACATAAAGTAAAAATGACCATATTGACAGTAACTAAAAAGTAATACTATATACATCTCACTCAAGGACTGACTCAGAGACCTGTTTCAACTTTCCATGCAGGCTACAATGTAGGCTAGCCTTGGAAGCTACTGGGCCTTGTTAGCTGTACTACAAAGATTCTGCAGATAATAAACAAAACGTCTCGAACGGCTATTTATTAAAATAAATGCTATTCACAATTTCCAACCCAGGGCCCAGCCAGGCAGCTTTTTGAAATAAAACGTTACTCTTCCATACAAATTGAATATAAAGGACAACAAAACACACAAAATGTTTTTAAAATAATTATGAGCAGTATTTGTGTGTATTTTTGATGATGAATTGTTAATCTGATGCCAATGCAAACAGCCCAGCTAAGCCCCAGTTTTGAAATGTCACCTTACCATAATCTACATTATACCACAACTAATAGTATTTCTCCTTATAGCTTTCCTATTCTCTAGACGTTTTAGCAGCAGAGAGAGGAAGGTGTGATGATGTATACGTGCTTGAACATCTTTTAAATTGAATGTAAAGATAAAAGAAAAGAGGCAGAGGAAAATACAGCTGATATTATACCTGATAGAGGATTGGCAAAATATAAATAATGTCCTGTTTGTGGGTACATATTCTCTTCTGGTGCTGGTCAAAATTGTTTTTACTCCAGTGTAACTCGTTTTTTCATGGGTACAATTACTGTGTCAAGCTCAGATATATTAGGCCTGCTGTTATAGCTTAGCTTAAGGTACATGCAGTGCCTAGAATGAGGCATTCTGTAGATTTTGTTTTGATTACTTTGAAATAAAATGAGATATTAGACAACTCTCGACATGTCACATGACACACTGTTTCTACTACTACTGCTAAGGACTTCATGACTCCACACTAACCGTTAAGTTTAGCCTTGAAAGCTGGAAATACTGGCAGTCTTGAAGAATTTTCCTGGCGAAAAGTCTGATCAGGAGAAACAAGTTCTCTCCAGTCAGTTGTGGGTGAATTTGAGGTGTGGTGCTCCCGGGTCAGTGGTAGACTAATAAATAGATTAAGAACTGCTGGTGGCACGGACTTACTGAGCTTATATCTTTCATCTCATATGATTTTGATGTGTTATGAGTTGATTGGATGGTTCACGCCAATACATTTCCTTGGTTTTTGGTACCTGTCCTTGGTGCTGAACTCCCGGTTATACTAATGCATTTCCTCATTTCTCTTTTTTCAATACCAACAACCAGAAAATTCTATTAGTATGGCCTAATCAAACAGTGTAAAATTTGAGCAACGTGTCATTCCCTGGTCCAGCTGCTATGTTGGGGGTGGGATCCTGGTAGCCAACAGGNCTCCATCAATCAGTCACTGTACTGTCCGCTTGCATGACTTTGGTTTCTTCGTCAGTGTTTTCAACAATGTATGGTTCGATGTCTCTGTCAGAAAAGTCATTTTTGTAATTCTCATTATTACCTTCATCTTCTGTGGTGTTACGCTGAGATTTGTTAGCCTTTCTGTTGGAGTTGAAATTCATAGTCACTGCTTGCTTGACTTGTGTTTCATCTTCACTGTTTTCCGTAGTGTTACCATATTCAGCATTTTCCCCTGAGGCTTTGTACATGGCGGAGTTCTCAGCATGGATCAGATCAGATACAGAATATACATCAGCGACCTCTGGGGTGGGGATATCGTTATTATCTGTCATATAATAATGCTCATTTGTGGTTGTTTGTTCGACTTCATTGCCAGCTGCATATATAGCCTCCAACATGTCTTCTTTTTGACTTGAACAGTAGTGCTTTCTGTGTACGGCACATTTTTACTACTTACATACTAGTTACATACTTTTTCATTGTGATTCTGTTGGCAAAGATAAACAAGGTGTTATTTCAGGGCTTACACTACCATCTGCATAATATATGAAGGTTATTGCAGGTAAAATTGAAGCTGTGTAAGTATTTCTGAGGCATATCTTCACCTGACCTGCACTGGTCCATGTACTGGGTATATGCAGGTTAGTGCAGGTAAAATTGGAGCTGTGCAGGTATTTCTGATGTCTACCTGCACCTAACCTGCACTGGTCCATGTACTGGGTATATGCAGGTTAGTGCAGGTAAAATTGGAGCTGTGCAGGTATTTCTGATGTCTACCTGCACCTAACCTGCACTGGTCCATGTACTGGGTATGTGCAGGTTAGTGCAGGTAAAACTGGACCTGTGCAGATATATCTGATGTCTAGTACCTGTACCTAAGCCACATTAGATTGTTATAAAAATTATAGTTGTGAGAAAAACAGTTCTGATCCAGCTCTGTATAAGGCAGACTAATTATAGGATTGAGAACTGTTAAATGTCATACATGTTTCATGTACATAAAATAAAAATGGCCATATTGACAGTAATTAAAAAGTAATACTATACATCTCACTCAAGGACTGACTCAGAGACCTGTTTCAACTTTCCATGCAGGCTACAATGTAGGCTAGCCTTGGAAGGTATTGGGCCTTGTTAGCTGTACTACAAAGATTCTGCAGATAATAAACAAAACGTCTCGAACGGCTATTTATTAAAATAAATGCTATTCACAATTTCCAACCCAGGGCCCAGCCGGGCAGCTTTTTGAAATAAAAAGTTACTCTACCATACAAATTGAATATAAAAGACAACAAAACACACAAAATTTTTTAAAAATAATTATGAGCAGTATTTGTGTGTATTTTTGATGATGAATTGTTAATCTGATGCCAATGCAAACAGCCCAGCTAAGCCCCAGTTTTGAAATGTCACCTCACCATAATCTACATTATACCACAACTGTTAGTATTTCTCCTTATAGCTTTCCTACTCTCTAGACGTTTTAGCAGCAGAGAGAGGAAGATGTGATAATGTATACTTGCTTGAACATCTTTTAAATTTGAAAGTAAAGATAAAAGAAGAGAGGCAGAGGAAAATACAGCTAATATTATACCTGATAGAGGATTGGCAAAATATAAATAATGTCCTGTTTGTGGGTACATATTCTCTTCTGGTGCTGGTCAAAGTTGTTTTTACTCCAGTGTAACTCGTTTATCCATGGGTACAATTACTGTGTCAAGCTCAGATATATTAGGCCTGCTGTTATAGCTTAGCTTAAGGTACATGTAGTGCCTAGAATGAGACATTCTGTAGATTTTGTTTTGATTAGTTTGAAATAAAATGAGATATTAGACAACACTCGACATGTCATATGACACACTGTTTCTACAACTACTGCTAAGGACTTCATGGCTCCACACTAACCGTTAAGTTTAGCCTTGAAAGCTGGAAATACAGGCAGTCTTGAAGACTTTTCCTGGCGAAAATTCTGGTCAGGAGAAACAAGTTCTCTCCAGTCAGCTGTGGGTGAATTTGAGGTGTGGTGCTCCTGGTTCAGTGGTAGACTAATAAATAGATAAAGAACTGCTGGTGGCACGGACTTACTGAGCTTATATCTTTCATCTCATCTGATTTTGATCTGTTATGAGTTGATTGGATGGTTCACGCCAATACATTTCCTTGGTTCTTGGTACATGTAGTACATGTCCTTGATGCTGAACTCCCTGTTATACTAATGCATTTCCTAATTTCTCTTTTGTCAATACCAGCAACCAGAAAACTCTATTAGTATGGCCTAATCAAACAGTGTAAAATTTGAGCAACGTGTCATTCCCTGGTCCAGCTACTATGTTGGGGGTGGTATCCTGGTAGCCAACAGGGTCATGTTGTTCTGAAACCATACTACCATGTACATTTGTACAAGAGGCCTTTCATCATTACCAAGAACATTTCTATAAACTCATTTACGTCTTGCTACATACATTGTATATACAAGTGTTACACTACAAAAATGGCTCTGAAATGGCTTTACCATCAGAGCAATTCACTGCTTCTTTTTTGGGAAAAGATCTGAACATGAGAACCAACAAATTAAATTGGTGTGGCCTTAGACATGTAAAAATATATGCTGGAAGTAACTATTTTTTTCATATTCTTTTGTCGTTAAAGTTTCTGTAAGTCTACATGTAGTTGTTTTTAGTCTGTTACGGATCCCAAAAATTTGCCCTTGTTTTTGCACGTAGACAGCACGCAGTTGCAGGTATGGTAGGTTGTTACCAAGGCTTAAACTACATGTATACAAATACACCATTATTTTCTATATCTGCTGTATATTATAAGCAGTATACTGAAAGTGTGATAATGTCACTGACTGAACTAGGCCATTTCTTAAATCATTCCTAATTGAGACTAAACTTTTTCTCCCAGCCTCAGCTGTTTATCTTGTCCTCTTGCTGCATTTATACTTGAGAACCACAGCATGGCATGTCCCTAATATTTGGGGAAAATGATTACAAAGATACTCCGAGACACCACAAGTTGCCCCTCCCCACCTGTAGCAACATGCTTGGGTTGGTTAATGTAAGCTACGGTGCGGATGTGCTCTCCCTCAGCTGTGAACATCTCCACTCGGCTGTTCCCAGTATCAGCCACAATCACACGTCCCAAACTGTCCACACAGATTCCTCGGGGGGAAAAAAGATTCCCTGCTCCGGTACCTCTACTACCAAAACTGGACAGGTAGACTCCGTTCTTGTCATACTTTTCTACATGATGTTTACTGCGGAAAGCGATGAAGATGTTCCCTTTCTTGTCTACGGTGACAAACCGTAGAAGCGTACTTCCTGTTGAGCCAAACCCGGTCATGTCACACGTCAGCCGTGGTGTTGCCTCTGTCTGTGTGTAAGTAGGACTTAACCATGCAGTGCTGAAATTTGCTGACCGTTTATACAGACTGAGTATGATTCTGCCAGAAAGCTTGTGCCAGGCAATGCTATTGAGTCTAGTGTCACTGCATTGAAACGAAGTAAGGACACTGCCTTCTTTACTGTACTGTTGAATGTAATGTCCATAACTTAACCAATGATACTGAAATAGGTACAATGTGACCCACAGGGTGTCGTTGTGGCCCATGCACACGGCCCTTGGGTCCATGTTTCCTGTGGAGAAACTGCGAAGGAAAACTCCCTTCATGCTGAAGACCTTAATTCTTTTGCACCCCCCATCAGCCACAAATATCTCGTTAGTCGAGGACACGGCCAATCCAGTCACATAGCACAAATGCTCGGGGCCTTTTCCTTTCCCTCCAAAGGTGATATTCTCTTTCACTTCTGCTCGTAAAACAGAGAAAAATATTGAGTTATATTTTGTAGTGTATCAGGACATCACTTTTTAGACTTACAATGATAAAAATACGACCATTTTGACAGGTTTGTACTTCAAAAGTAAATTTTATGAATGACATCCTCCGCGGACTCCAAATCTAAATCAACAGCGCGAAATAAAAATTAGAAAAAGGCCAAGGCCCTATGATAGCCGGAAATATTACAATATGAGCCATGAAGTGAACATACGAGGCTGTTTTATAATTAAACAATAGATTTTGAACTTTAATTCAAACACAATTGCATTGTTACATTGAAAAAAGTTTGATAAGTAGGAAGAAAAGGACTTTCTTCAACCGTAGGGGCCAAAAAATGTCTTTCATTGAGCATTTTGCAGTTAATTTAGAACCAACCTTTTTTTTTTTTGCAAATCAGAAAAAAATGGACAGGGCGATCTGAGAAGCAACAAATTAAATTGGCGTGGCCTAATAAACTGTTGTTTAGATTGATGAAGGTTAGACATCCAGGTAAACAATACTCATGGGAAATATATCTTTCTCATGTTCAGCTGTTTTTTCCACTCGTTCCTACATGTAGATATGTGTGAATCTGTTACATGTAGTTCATTAGTGATGCTGAAGAAGAGTTGTGGATGTCTCTCGAAACATCCAGAATTTATTTCCCGTAATTTATCCAGTAGTAGAGTTTGAATTTCCTATGATAAAGGTTGTTTAGTATAAGTCCAGTTTCCCAGCATCAAACCAAGAGAGAATATCAGATGTTACTAGGATTGTAGCTGCCATTAAGCATCCAGAGGACCTTGCCTGCCCACCCTGAGTAACTATCATGTGATAGTTATTCAGGGTTCTCACCTAAATTTTTCCACACGTAGGGTTAAGGTACAGAAGGACAACTTTCTGCAGTGCAAGGTGCACATTGAGTCCAAAAACATGACCACAGCAGGGGGTCTGATATTCTCTCCAAAAGAAATTTTTAACTCATTCCCTCAGCATTCCTTTCATAGTATGGGATAATTCAAGTTGCTAGATAAATTCTCCAACCTCATACTTATTATTAGTTTGGAACTTGGGTAATTTAATGTCTGTGCCTACCTTTCTGGCGTGGTGGATTGGTACCAATGGGTGGCCTTGTACCATTAATACTACCAAATACGTGCGGTTTGGTACCATTGATACCACCAATGCTGGGTGGGCTGATACCATTGATACCACCAAGGCTGGGTGGGCTGGTACCATTGATACCACCAAGGCTTGGTGGGCTGGTACCATTGATACCCCCAAAGCTGGGTGGGCTGGTACCATTGATACCCCCAAAGCTGGGTGGGTCGGTACTGTCAGCACTTTTGATGGTAGTTATAGTTGTGCTAGTCAATTCTGTTGCATTTGGTGTTGTCAAGTTGTTGACTTCTTGCATAGGACTATCCTGGGAAAGCAGCAACAAGAAGAAATGTAAAACTAGAATGGTAACAATTGCAAAGCATATACAAAATGTTTGCCTTCACATTACGATGATCTATCTGACAAACTACTGCGCTGACCAGCTTCTCCAACTATATTCTGCCATGCACTTCCTACAATTTTGCCTGATTAAAAAAAAATAAAAAATAGGTTTTGAATCAACCCCCAAAATGCTTTTATGTTGGCCCGTACAATTAAAAAAATAGCAAATTCGTATAACCAGGAGTTCAGCACCAAGGACAGGTACTTAACATTGATTATTCAGTACTGCTATTGAATTTTTCCTACAAGAAATGTCAGAGAACCACGAAATAAAATTGGTTTGGGCTTATAGTGAAAAAAAAAGATGTATAAACGTCTGAGCAACTCAAAGCTTGCCAAGATCAGATGATATGAAAGATAAAAGTTCTATGCATTCACGCCAAGTTCAGTTTTGAACCTTAGTAGTCTACCAGTGAGTTGAGAGCAAAAATATACAAAAATTGTGCTCAAAATTATCATAAAACCACTACATAATATACAGAGATCAGGTCTTAGATAATATAGCTTTAGCACACGAGGTACAAAAGACTGTTCGTGTCTTTTTGTTTTATGATGTTTATGTGTTAGGTGTTTGATTGTGGCCTAAGGTGTAAAATTGAGCCCTAGAAAAGCTCTTTTAAATTACCTTTTGCATGCCTAGGGCATAGAAATAGAATCCTATGATTGGTCCCACAACCAGCAGGACAACTCCCAAAGCAGCAAAACAGCAACTTCGATTCACTGCAGAAAAGGCCTTCTTTTTAATTTTTTTATTGTTTTCTTCAGAAGAAAAGAAGAGATATGCATTGCACAGGCCCAATAATTAAATCTGGGCTCGAAATACTGGGTGCATATGTACCTTAGTGCAGGGAAAGTTAGAGGTTTGCATTTCTGATGTCTGCCTGCACCTAGCCTGCACTGCCCCATATACTGGGTTTATATAAACATCTACAATGTGTTTGTGGATTTTTATTTGCTGCATTGACTGTAACAACCTATAAAATAAATGGTTTTAAGTATGATCCATACGTCGAATGTTCTGAGTGGTGCAGGTAAATTTGTTTGTTGCAGGTAATTTTCAATGTTATTTATGTATACACTGGTGCGGGTACGCAGAAAAAGTATTTCAAGCCCTGGATTGTTACAGACTATGACAACAATTATAAACAAGAAGCTAGACCTAGATCTATTTACTGTCATGAAACACAAGTAGATGTCTTACCGTGAAGTTTTTTCTCCTGTTTGGGGTTTGGTATGTACATCGGATTTTGACGAAGTTCTTTTACGTTTGGAGGATTGCGAGGCATGTGTACATGTTCGGTGGTGTCACGACTGGAGTCATCTGAAGCCTGTTGGCGAACGGTTGTTGTTTCGAGATAGGTTTCATTTTCGATCGTGTTTGTAACAGCGTAAGGTTCCATGTCACCATCATCAGTCACTATGCTGACTGCCTTTGATGAGTTTGAAGCCTGTTGGTGAACGTTTGTTCTTGCGCTGAGATAAGTTTCATGATCGGACATGTCTGCAACAGCGTAAGGTTCCATGTCACACTCATCGTTAACTGTACTGTCCGCTTGCATGATGTTTTCAGTGTTTTGCTGTTCTTTTTCAATGTTTCCAATAGAGTTACCGTCTTCTTCATTTTCCCCTGAGGCTTTGTACATGGCAGAGTTTTCAGCATGGATCGGATCAGATACAGAATATACATCAGCGACCTCTGGGGTGGGGATATCGTTATTATCTGTCATATAATAATTCTCATTTGTGGTTGTATGTTCGACTTCATTGCCAGCTGCATACGTAGCCGCCATCCTGTCTTGTCCTTGACTACCGGGAAAGTTTTGACCACATGTTGACATTCTTGTTGGCTCTGCAGTAGTGCTTTCTGTGTACAGCACATTCTGATCAGAGGGTAGATTATCTTGTTCATTTTTTCCTAGGCTTGTTGGCTCCTCTGGATGGTTTGTATCATAAACAGGATTGTTCTCTTTTCTGATGGACTGAGACATTATGAATCTGTTGGCAATGTCAGAATGAGAACAAGGTGTTATTTGTACATCTAGTGGCAAGGTGGTCTTGTGGTTAGGTTTGACTCAGAATCTGAAGGTTCTGTGTACAAATCCATGGCAGGCCCCAGTGCTATACATGGGAAAAAGCCACTTTACTACTCTCCAAGCAGAGGTTGTGGGGAATTATCGTTACCTTTTTATATATGGCGTTTTTTTTTGTTCTTATCCCCACCAACCTCTGCCGAAAGTCGCAGCCACAGAGGACAAGGGGAGGAGTAGTTCTTTCAAAAACGTGCCAAAGTCCCTCCCCGTGCCCCTATTTCCCGCAATCTGTGAACTGGTAGCGGAAATCCTTTTACGATGCCGCCCACCGCGCTGCAGCGCAATTCGGGCCTGCGGAGTCAACCGCACATGCCTTATTAGCATACCGCCAGCTGACAGCGACAGCACTACAACGTAGCACTGAGTAAACATGATTACGTACAGAATTACCAAATAAACGTTCGAGATCAACAAAATAAATATAAATTTGATTTTCAACACATAATGAAGTATTTTTTTTAATTTACATATATTCATATATTTTGGTGTTTCTGGCGATCATTTCTATCCTGCCGTCGTGTTTGGATGCGGTGCGTTCTAGCCATTTTGTTGTTCCCGGTTAAAAGTTTGCAAACGTTGTTTTTATTCCACAAAGTTAGTTTCCTTTCCGATTTGCCATGTGAATTTCCTCTGTGCTGGATAGTCCATTTAACGGCCTCGAAGCCAGAATAGTGGACAGATAGGTACTTGATTATTTATACTGTTTGCAAGGAGGAGAAAAATATACTGTTATGCATCGGATATTTTCACCACAAGGCATGATTTGTGTAACGTTAGATTGCGAAATTTGCCGATGAATAAAGAAGAATTATCTATTGACATATGTTAGCGTATCACTGGTGGACGTCGAGTATAGTTTTGTTTCAATTGTGAAGAGCGCAAGGATTGTATTTGCACTTTATCGTCGGAGAAAAGGGGGAGATCAACGCTTCGTATTTTTTGTGGGAGGGAGGCGTATTCATTCATTCATCAAAATGGAAGCGGGCGCCGGGCAAGAGTTGGAATCAGGGAAAACACGTCAAGAGTTGGAATCAGGGAAAACACGTCGGACTTTTGCCTCTTTTACTGCCGCGGCTCGAATTCAAACTGGCCCGCTAACGGTATCGTAAATGACCTGTGACGATACTTCCTGTGAGATGCCGGACAGGGGCTCGCGCGCCGGGCATAATTCACGCCTTCTTCCTAAACCCGGACTGATCGCGGTTTGATTAGGTAACAATTGCGTGATAATAACCTTGTCCAGTGCGACTTTCTGCAGATCCCGTCGGTGGCCGCGGAGCTTCTCTGGCTAATGGATACTGCCTGGCCAATTTGATACTGTCTTTTTGCCACCGAGAGGGATCTGCTTGGAGATTAACTTTACTGCTATTTACTCCTTGTCACCTGCTGTATATATGTCAGTCTCAGTAAATCAAACTTTACAGAATACCTGAAGGCTGAAATATATTGTTATACCTACAATTTGCAGAACAAATCTGCACTGGGTAATAACTTGTGAACTCGTACTTCAGGGGTGTATTTTTTCTGTCTGCAAATTTGCCTGTATCAGAGAAATCTAAATAACACTTACTGTTACGTGAAGTCTTGAAAGCTGCAAATACTGACAAAACTGGATTAAGTTGTCTCGGAGACTGTTCCTGGCAACATTTCTGGTCAGGAAAAACAGGTTTTCTCCGGTCGGCGCTGGGTGAATTTGAGGTGTGGTGCTCCCAACTCAGGTGGGGTTGTCTCAACTGGTAGACTAATAAGTAGATGAAAAACTGTCGTTGGCGTGCACACATTGAACTTCTAGCTTTCATCTCATCTGATCTAGCCAAACCTTGAGTTGCATAGATGTTTATTCATCTTTTTTCTATACCAATTTATTTCCTTGGTTCTCTGACATTTTTACCAAAAATTCTGCCACTGTCCTTGGTGCTGAACTCCTGGTCATACTAAAGTAGTTCCTCATTTTTTTTAATGTCAAGAACCAGGAAACTGCATTGATGTGGCCTATTCCAAACTTGTGAAATTTGTGCAACGTGTCATTCCCTGGTCCAGCTGCTATGTTGGGGTGGGATCCTGACAGCCAATAGGATCATAGTGTTCTGAAATCATACATGTACAAGACGCCTCTCATCATTACCAAGAACATTTCAATAGCTTCATTTACGTCTTGCTTCATACATTGTAAAACATGTGTTGCCTCTGAAATGGCTTTACCATCAGAGCAATTTTTTTATGTTTTTCTGGAAAAAAATGTGAGAACCAACAAATTAACTTGGTGTGGCCTTTAAAATTTATAAAACCGTTTTGGCTTATAAAGATGTTCAACCTTTGGGAGGCCTTCTTTGGTTTTAACATATCCTTCGTGTACTGAAACTCCTTTTCAGCACTGTCATTGATGGCATTCGGTATTTATAAAAACCTCAAATTTTCTTAATGGAGAAAAGTCACTGGACTAATGAAATTTGGGAAGCTGAAATAGGAAAATGAAGAGATAAATTTTGCAAAATATTTGAATTAGCATTCAAAACAAGACCGTAGCATCCAACACAAGGACTACATGTATGGTGACTGTTGTCTGGTTACCTCGGTTACATGAATGAAGCTATACTTTACTAAAAACTAAAAAAGTCAGAATCTTTTGATAACTTTGAAGCAGGAAGTTCAACTGAAACAAAACATATTGGACAATAAGCATTCTTATTCCACCACACTGAATGCAACATACTCCCATACACATTTTGTTCTGTATTTAGGGCATGTTGATTTGATTATATGGATGACATCCCTGCGCGCATGAATTAAAAAAAAAAGGTTTTCAGCCATAGTATAAATCGTACAAAACAGTTGCAGAATGAGCAAAAATCATAAGTTGCAAAATAAAAATGATGCCAATGTCGTAGAATGCCAAAATCAAACAAAAAAAAATAAAGAAAGGAATTTGAAGGGTAGATTATCCACCCAACCATATTCTGTGTCATTTGTTCAACCTTCATGACCATAATGAAAGCAACTTTTTTTGTCAAACTTTTTTTATTCACACGCGCGCATCAGTTTTGGGGTTCCCAGAGGATGTCATCCATATAATCAAATCATCGTGGCCTTACTGGGTCTTCTTGGAAATTAACTTTCATAACACAAATGTTGTCTTATGATAAAATGAAAAAATACAGTAGATAAAATTCTGACAAATGAGCAACCTATAAAGTCAATGGTAGGATTTCTATCAAATACACCTTTGTTTTCTATAACATCTGTTGTAAGCAGTAGCTATGAAGAAGCGCAGGCGTGCGTCCATGACCTTAGATATACCGGGGAGGCTACGTATACGGTGCTTGGGCACTCCGGCGAATAATCGTTCCGTTGTATTTACAATCAGTTCCTTTTTAAGACTCAGTCGTCAATTTCTGCTTCATTACGTTTGCGTTCTGTGTACTTGAGATAGAATTCTTGGCATTTTCATACGCGTATACCGTTGTAATATTTGTGTGTTCTTGATAGTTCCGCCGGTTCGTATTTTCAGTCTTGACGTCTGTACTATCCCCTAAAATTCACTAATTTTTAGTGGGCAAGTCGCCGTTGAGAATACGGAGGTCAAGTTCGGATATGGGCCTCGTTGGGGGTTCCCATGTTATTGAATTTGACCTTTTGTGTTGGTCGTTATTGTTGTTAGCGGGATAATTCGAGAATCTGCAAATGGATGTTCACGATTTGTTGTGAGCAAGTTACCGTTGACGATAGCAAGATCAAGGTCGGAAATGGGCGTCGTGGGAGGTCCGTACGTTACTGTAGTAACACTGGTCACTTTAAATTTGGAAAAGACACCAGCAACCCCAAGTATGAAATTCCAGGCAGTTAGCATTATGGAATTATTACATTTTCTCCTTAACTATGCAAATTAAGTGTTAATTTACATAATCAATATCTGCCTGTGTTTCTCTCGTTCTTAATTACATGTCACAAGCTTGAATAATCCTATAATTTAATGCAGCTGTTTTATAGAATTTCCCCATTAATTATGCAAATTACATCCAGATTTGCATAATCATACCAAGCATCACGTAAGCTACCTACATACCAAAAATCCCGTTGATCCTTCCATCGGTTCTTGAGTTATCCTCTTTGGAATATTTTCAAACAGATAGCCCTGCAGTTCCTGAGTAAGCCGCTAGGGGGCTTAAACTCACGCCACTTCCTTCCCAGTAAAAGAGCTACCTACCATCTAAATTTCGTTACCCCAGCATGTGTAGATCATGAGATATCAAAACCGGAAGTTTAGCTGCAGTACCATAACAAGCCGCTAGACGGTCCAAAATCTAACCATTTCCAGGTCTCATCAAGACCTACCCACCTACCAAATATCAAGATAATCCATTTAAGCTTTCTCAAGTTATGCTGTTGACAGACAGACAGACACACGACCAGGAAAACGTCAATTCTTGGCGAAGGCAATCATGAACAGATATTTATAGCTTAAAACTTAAGTATTAGTGGCTTAATTCCTCAATGAACCCTTTTACCATCTGGGCGATATGCTATTACAAACTCATCTGTTTTGCCTGTAATCCTCAAATAAACAAAGGGGACCTTGGAGCCCCAGCAGGCCATCAGCTACTGGATACCGGCACAGTCCACACAGATCACAAGTATTTAGAAGTCAATAACAGGTCAAACCATGAAAAATGTCACACTTTTTGGCCATATTTTAAAAATATACATTCTTCTGTCCTTCTTACCAGAAAACTGGGCCTTTCTGAGTAAAATTTGCCCAGGAAAAAAAAATATCTAAAAAATAAGTACCAAAATCGGTGTACACACTGCTAGTTCTGCGCATGACGATTTGCTGGTCCCTACCCTTACAGCATTGCTAGCTCTGTTCTTTGGGCATAGCAAAAAAGACCCATTTTACACAATTTTATAGTGGTGTATGCCAAACTATGTCTTAAGTTCATTTGGCATTTGCCTAAGAGACATCTAAAACAAATTTCTGGTCGTTTGGTTTTAATACAAGGGCATAAAAGCATTTTGTCTGGAAAGAGCAGAAAAACTTATTTTACACAAATTCAAAGTAGTGTTTACCAAAAATGTGAGTATAGTTCTTTGGGCATACGTCAAATGCACTCCTATACCAAACTTTGGGTCATCTGGTTGTAATATTAGGGCACAGGAGCCAAAAATGTACATTTTTTTGTCTGAAAATAGCAGAAAAGACCTGTTTCACACCATTTTCAAGTGGTGTATGCCAAAGCTGCAAATGCCATTCTTTGAGCATATGCTCAAGGCACCCCTGTACCAAATGACGAATTCTACATTCCGTATTTCCGTAGAAAGACATGGTACAGGCTAGGTAAATAGTATGTTGCTTCGTTCACAAAAAGACTCTCTCACCACTATAACTAAGATAATCATCCTCAAAAAGCCTACACTATACATACACACAACACCCACCAAAACAACATCACACTGTCGAAGGCATGAGCCCTCCGAACTCTAGTTAATATATACTTTGACATGTCTTTGGTAACTGGCTGTGTTATCACTGTGTTATTGGAGCTTTTTATGTATGGACATGTGTTAATATGAATGAAAACTTTACGTAATTCACGAAAAAGGGAAGAAAAACAGTCTGTGCTACCTGCATTTAAAAATATTGTTGTTTTACTTTTCTACAAAATGATTAGATGTTAGTATACCTTCTAAAGCAATTAGCCAATCCCATTAAAATCAGATTTGCTTGAGAGTCCCTGACCAAAGCTAGGTACTCATATTCAGCTGAGCTAACAATCGAAATACGTGTAAAGATCCTTTCTCAAGGGTACAACACCAAAAGCTTGAGACCATCTTCGTTGATGAGAAGTACGTGAGGGTAGAAAAAAAAGGTCATAGTATTACATGGATAGTCTACCAGCTCCCAAACCTTAATTACGACGAGGTTCATCATACAAGTATTGTCTACTGGCTTTCAAACCTCCACCCACGTCCACAAAGAAGTTGGATCAATCCACTTTAACTCCTCCCAAGGGAGGGAAAGCTTCACGTCTAAAATTCTAAATTCATGAACATGTTCCTGCAAAAAAAATTTCTTTACGAAACACTTTTCTTGCATCTTGATCTTGCATTTTACTGCTGTAACAGATTTTTTTGTTTTATCTTATAATATTATGAACAATACAATGTGGCCATTTTTTGGACTTCAGTGTTCAACACCCTGTTGTTTCTATTCTATACCAGACAAGACACCTTTGCGGGGGAATCTATGACGTGCATGGGATATGTTGATTAAATGTTTATATAATCTCCCAGCACTGGGTCTCTATTTCGCTATTGTGGTCAGTTCTCTCTGAAGACAAGTCGCTCGCAGAAGCCTTACTGTAAGTACAGAATGTCTTAATCTTTCTTCTCTATATCTCCATATCACCTTACAGTAGCACTCCAAGGTGTAGGTACTGTTAATGTGTTGATAGGTTTGGTAATGGAATGTAATGTAATGTAAAGTAATATGTTTGTAATTTCCAGCTGTTATGAACTAACAGTGTGTTGTATTTTAAACACGACACTACTCAACATGGTAATGTAACTGTTAAGGCGCGCTTTATTTTCCCCACAAAGAAAGAATTGAACTCTATGAAGATAAACCTCAAGTTCACCGAGGAACATGTTGCATATCGGTAAGCATTTATGCGGGGAACCGCTAAATAACTTTCAGTAAAACCAACATGTCAGCTACAATCTCAGCTGGAACAACACGTGCTCCACGCACTGATAATGAGTCACTGTTTAGACAACCCTATATTTCCACCATAAAGAAATAACTGAACATTTATGACATCAAGTTAGCCAAGAAATAGGCCACTAGACAACTTCAAATAAAAGCAACAATATAAACAAAAAACAACCCCAGTCAGGACAACACGTAGTTCAAATTCATGATCTCAGCACTGACATGAATTGTCTGGTATCAGAAGACGACTCGTGGGTTGCTTCATCTACATAAAGATGTATTGATTCTGTCTGACATTTTTCAGTGCACATAGCGATACAGGTTGAAGATAAAAACTGTTTAACCCTCAACAGTACACCTTCCCGGACTGATTGATCTGTACACCTGGGGTCCGCGCGGACCCCATAACAGTTTTCTGCTAATTTTTAGAAATTATCAACATGCTACCAGCTCAATTGTTTTTCAAATTGATGTGTGAACCTACGAGTTTACATTACGTACAAAAATCATACATTTTGACCTTTTCCTATTTTTTGGTGAAGAAAGACAAAAAGACGAAATACCCGATTTTTAAACCCTATTCAGACCGAGTGTTTTTTGAGGCTCGCGCCAACTTTAATCTCAGATAGCGCCTGAACGGCTTAAGCTAGAGCCATCAAATTTGATGACCTTACTTAAAATGCATCGGGAAAAAAATTCATGATAGTTAAATAAGTTGATGAGTTTTTGTGTTGCCATGGTAACGGGTTTTTGACAGGCAGTTTTTTGGGAAAAATCAGTAATTTTGGTTTAAACATGAACATTTTCTGGTTTTTATATTAGATAACACTTCCTTTCTAACATTAATAACATCTTGCATCATTAAAGATAAGTTAAATCATTTAATATTCACAATATATGCTAATTTGATGACGTCATTGGTCAAAATCCAAGATGGCGGGTCATATCATTAGCGCTGACGTCATATGACGTCAGAATTACACTAAAATTGTTAGAATTTAATTCTATTAGTACTCCATTCTCTGAAATGTTGGTGGCCATACGATAAGTGCATAAAAACATATTAAAACGGAAATAAAGTAATGTATAAGAATGCGAGTGTAGCCATTACGATCGAAAGCCGGCTGGGGTCCGCGCGGACCCCAAAAGAAAATCCGATATAGAAATTTTTACAAATAGGGGAAACTGAGTTTTCTACTTTGTATTGAGGGACAACTTTGTGGGTGACAAGTACCTGAAATTTCAGAAAAAAATCTATACAAAAAAAAATGTATCCGCGCGGACCCCAGATGTACTGTTTAGGGTTAAATGTGCTGTGTTCTGAGAATCAAATTATAGCAATAAGCAATGACTAAACATGATCATCGCCATCGCTGCATTTCAACGTAGAACATCAAGGCAGACTGTAGCATTGTTATAATGTTTGCAGTTATGCATGTTTATGTTACATCTACATGTTGAACAATTTGAATGCAGGATATCTTTGTTTTCGTCATATTACTTGGAGCCATGGCTAAAAATATGCCATCCAACACCGTACCAAAAGCAATGGTCGTCAGAAACGAGTTCTTCAGCGAAGGTATGGCAAAACCAGACACAGGAACTGTGCCATCCACGTTAAGGCAAGCTGCCGAAGGTGCCAGTCACCACATCTCTGGTCAATGTGAGGAAAATAAAGACAATGATGAAAATCTGTCTGACACAAGCGATGCTGCTGCTGAGAACATTCAGACAATCGATATCGGCCCTGGTGAGTTCGATACATACGCCATTGCATACATATGCAAAGAACAGACTCTTCGCATGAAGAAAGCCGTGGAAGAGACCAAAAACAAACATTTTCAGGCAACTAAAACGGCACCCGACAACACTAATAATGATAATGATACTGAAACTTCAGCTTTCAATGCAAATGGCAGCAACATGCACACACAAGCCAGGGATCCGAACCCGATGTACACACAAAACATGAACCCTCAACCGACGTACTCAGAAAGCGACGTTAACCCCAATCCGATGTACCTGCAAAGCACCATGGAGCCAATCGCCAGCCCTGGACCCGCCAGGAATCCAAACCCGATGTACACACATAACGCTACGAACACTTCTCCGAAGCACTCCAGAAACGACGTTAACCCCAATCCGATGTACCTGCAAAGCAGCCCTGGACCCACCTTCAGGTCAAAGCAGGGTGATGACAATCCCTGCACCCAGACATCAGCTGAAACACATCAGCAAGCCTTCTCCAGGCCGGCGACTAACAACGATGACAACCATTGCCTTCAACCATATGCTGTAAAACGCTGCCAACCAGATGCATTTACACATCATGAACATGATATTGCTGTTCAATACAAAGAAGATGAAACATTCGGTGAGTCAGCAAAAAATGATGGCAATCCCTGCATCCAACCATATGCAATTACCCACAAAGAAGACCAGGAGCCCTCACTCAACTGTGATGGCGGCCACCATTACGCTGCTACATACCAACAAGATGACGATAGTGGCAGGGCTGCGTCTAAAAACAGACATACAGCCAGTATCGCATCTGAAGATGAGGTCCTTCAACCATACGCTGCCGCATACTTGAGTCAGGGTGACTTGGAGCGGAACACAACTTCAGAAGACCTGTCCTCCCAGAATCAGAATCAACCAGCGGCGGCTTCAAACAATGATGTCTTGCATGCACTCGATCCAAATCCGATGTACGCTGCCGCAGACATGTGCCAGGGTGACGTGGGGTGGAACACAGCTTCAGAAGACACTCAAGGAAGCCTGTCTTCCCAGAATCTACCAGCGGCGGCTTCTAACAGCATCAATGACGCCAATGATGTCCTACACGCACTCAATCCGAATCTGATGTACATGCCAAACGTCCAGCATCCTGCAGCGCACGGTAAGAACTTTATCAACTTAATAAACCTCTTGCTGGAGAGAAATCTTGGAATTTTTTTATTGTCATTGGTAATGTCTCTTGCCTGTTTTACACGCCTACAGAGTCCATTTCCCTTGTTGACACAACGCCCTAAAATCGTTTACATGTATTTTCAACAGATCTGCTGTTATCTGCAATATTTCAGGTCATAAGTAAGTAATTATCCTGATGAAGGCGACAGTTGAAAATTTGATCTCTATGTACTAATTGCTGTTGGAATAAAGTTCCAGTATTTCACTATGATTACTACCAACATGATATTTCAGGCTGTACACGTCGCCGAGTGATCTTTGCAGTTGAAGCTGCTGTCGTTCTTGGGTTATGCATCGTCGGAGGAAACTTTCTCTTGTTATCCTTAAGCGCCAGGCCGCCACAGGTACGCTTCTGCCTTATCAATTTTTTCATCATTTCCTGAGATAACCATCCCTTTATTTTACCCGTATACTTTATACGGGTAATTGGCATCACTGGCAGTATACATTTTGTACATGTACCTTGTAACTTAAGTCTAGACAGATATAGTACAGTTCAGTAGATCACTCCTACCCTCCTCTGAGTGTATAGTGAACGAGCCCAGGAATGTATATCATCACCCAGCAAGGTTTTCCCAATGGTTTTCAGGAATTTGGACTGTGTAGGACTGTAGTCATAGATGTGTGTCAGCAAAATTCCAGACAGGCCTGTAGAAAAAATCCCTGTGTAATTCCTAGAATTCTTGCAAACTGCACACAATACTGTACCATTAGGCTCCCCCATTAGGCGTCGCCAAAAAAACAACAAACAGATGCTTTATACACACAAGCCTCAACCTTTTCGTTTTGTTGCTTTGTCAGTGAGGTATCAATTCCAGGATACTTTTAAAATAGGCAGTTATTCCTTATTGTACTTATTCCAATATAATTTGGTGAAAAAATTCGTTGACATCGGCCTGCAGCTATCAAATTCAAACAGGTTTCAGATAATTTACCATGATCTCCATAAACCGATTGCGATAGCCTGTAATGACAATATAATCCTCTATCAACAGCAGACAGCTAATACAACTACTACTACTGCTACTGCTACTACTACTACTACTACTAGTACTACTGCTGCTGCTTCTGCTGCTACTACTACTACTACTGCTGCTGCTGCTACTACTACTACTACTACTACTGGATGCTTTTGCTCAATCCCCAAGCTCCCGGCAGTCTGCAACACCCCACATAACCAAGGTGAGTCTAACACAAATATTCAAGACACAATGTCTTAAACTTGGTCCCCCTGTGTCATTAGACAATGTCTTAAACTTGGTCCCTCTGTCATTAGACAATGTCTTAAACTTGTTCCCTCTGTGTTATGAGGCAATGCTAGGATATTGGATTGGACAATGAAGAAGATTATTTCTTATGGTGAGTAAAAGACGCTATATGCATCAGGGCCCATGTGTGTGTGTGTGTGTGTGTGTGTGTGTGTGTGTGTGTGTGTGTGTGTGTGTGCGAGTTGTGTGTCAATGTAAATGGTTTAAATTTCAGTTGAAAAATACTTTTTTATCACTCATGGCAAAAGGTTGTGACGTAAAGCAAAAGATCACTTTTGGCGGGAAGGGAAAAGAACCTGGAAAATTTCTGCTGACAATGAAATATTTGTGACTGATTGCGATTGGAACAACCAGCGAGTCCAGGTCTTCAGTATAAACGGGACCTATCTCCGCCTCTTTCCAACAGTCGTGCCGGGTGAAAGTAAGACAACGCGCCCTTATGTTGTTGCTTTGAACGTGGCTCCTGGCTACCTGTGGGTACTGGGGAAGAGCTCGCGCCCCAATGAAGGACATGTCGTACAGTTCAGTAAGTACGGACAGCCCATCAAAAAATTTGACGTAAGCCTCAAGAGCGTCTATCCCGTCATCGCGATGGACGTGCGCAACAATAAAATTATCGTGGGAGACAAAAATACAATTATGATGTTTGATCCAAACTGATCTCGCATTTGGAGTTCAAACGTGCCTACGGTGGAGGTGATCAGGGGAGTCACATCGGACAAGGAGGGAAATGTCCTGCTGACGGATGGGCATAAAACTATCCAGAAGTACAATTCCTCCGGAGTAAAGATATTTGAATTCGGCACCAGAGGACAGAGGGGGGGGGGGCAACTGGACTCTTTCGTTGGTATTTTTCTTGACACCTCTGGTCACATCATTGTGGCGAACGAATACAACCTCCGGGTAGACATGTTCACAAGCCAGGGCAAGTTTGTCCGCACCATCGCGGACATTAGCCAACCGTGGGGTGTCGCTATGGGACCATGTGGAGAGTTGGTACTGACTAGCCCATATACAAACACTGTAACTATCTTCCCACGCCACATGGTGCTTCCTTGAGTTCCCTTTATGGTTGATTTTGTTATCTCTGCACGAGTGATTCTCTTTTGTTTATGTACCATACGTATTGTATTATCAAATGGTGTCGTATAAGCCCACACGGGCTGGGCGCGGGAAGCCTCATTCATTCAATGTAACGCGTACATTGTCAAAATTACTGTCTTTGAGATGAAATTTACCAATCTAAGTGTACAAAATGGCACTGCAGATGTTCAGGTCCAGACCTGTACATAAATACGTCAGTGAAGGTTAGACATCCAGGTAATAAGATACGCCAAAAAAGTGTCATAAAAGGTAGTGGATGATACTTAAAGCGTCTGACCGTTTCCAAAAGCATTATCCAGTGGCTTGAGAAACTGTTTTTTTTTTGCTGTACCTAAATAATTATACAGATACAGGTATTAAGTACATGAGGGACCAACATTGTTTTGTAGTCTCTTTTCACACCAGATTGTATTTGAAGTAAATATATATCTATATCTATATATATCTATATTGTTTGAATTGCTTGTAGGCCAAGAGCGCATTGCAAACTACCATAGTGGTGACATGTAACTTTGTGGCTAAACCAAAAAAGAAAAAAGAAATTAAAGCAGGCATGTGCAGGTGTATTGTAATAGGCCTGAGGTTTTTTTTCACTTTGTCGTCATCATAGCAAAATTTTACGATCTGAGGAAAATAGACATTGCAGGGAAGGGGGGGGGGGTAAGATAAATAATTTGCTAAGTACCAATGGTAATGATAACTTGGTCCCTCTGTGTCATTATACAATGTGTTAAAGTTGGTCCCTCTGTGTCATTAGACAATGTCTTAAACTTGGTCCCTCTGTGCCATTAGACAATGTGTTAAACTTGGCCCCTCTGTGTCATTAGACAATGTCGTAAACTTGGTCCCTCTGTGTCATTCGACAATGTGTTACACTTGGCCCCTCTGTGCCATTAGACAATGTCTTAAACTTGGTCCCTCTGTCATAAGACATTTGCATTAGATTTGGTCCCTCTGTGTCATGAGAATGAACAAGATAATTTCTTATGGTGAGTAAAAGAAGCTATATACATCAGGGCCATATCAACCTTCCCTAAAACAGAGACGGTGTGTGTGACTCTGTGTGTGTGTGTGTGTCTGTGTGTGTGTGTGTGTGTCTGTGTGTGTGTATGCGTTTGTGTGTGTGTGTGTGTGTCTGTGTGTGTGTGTGTGTTTGTGTGTGTGTGTGAGGGAGAGAGAGAGCGCGTGTGTGGCGTGTGTAAATGTAAATGGCTTATTTGAAATATACTTTTTTATCACTCATGGCAAAAGGTGGTGACGTAAAGCAGGAGAAGATCACGTTTGGTGGGATGGGAAAAGAACCTGGAAAATTCCTGGGGAACAAGGGAACAGCCGTGTCTGCTGACAATGAGATATTTGTGACTGATCAGCCAACCAAACGAGTCCAGGTCTTCAGTATAAAGGGGACCTTTCTCCGCCTCTTTCCAACAGTCGTGCCGGGTGAAAGTACGAGAATGTACCCTCATGATGTTGCTTTGGACGTGGAGTCTGGCTACCTGTGGGTACTGGGGAAGAGCTCGCGCTCCAATGACGGACATGTCGTACAGTACAGTAAGAACGGACAGCCCATCAAAAAGTTTGACGTAAGCCTCAAGGGCTACTCTCCCGTCATTGCAACGGACGTGCGCAACAATAAAGTTATCGTGGGAGACAAAACAACCATTATGATGTTTGATCCAAACGGCTCTCGCATTTGGAGTTCAAAAGTGCCTACGGAAGAGGCGATCAGGGGAGTCACATCGGACAAGGAGGGAAATGTCCTGCTGACTGATTGGAATAAAAGCGTCTACAAGTACAATACCTCCGGAGTAAATATACGTGTATTTCAATTCAGCACCCGGGGAATGGGGCAACGGAACTCTCTCAGAGGTATTTGTCTGGACACCTCTGGTCACATCATTGTGGCGAGCTTTCATAACCACCGGGTAGACATGTTCACAAGCCAGGGCGAGTTTGTCCGCACCATCGCGGACATTATTCAACCATGGGGTGTCGCTATGGGACCATGTGGAGAGTTGGTGGTGACTAGCCCATATACAAACACTGTAACTATCTTCCCACGCCACATGGTGCTTCCTTGAAGCCCTAAATTGAGTTCCCTTTATGGTTGATTTTGTTATCTCTGCACGACTGATTCCCTTTTGTTTATGTACCATACGTATTGTATTATCAAATGTTGTGGTATAAGCCCACACAGGCTGGGCGCGGGTAGCCTCATTCATTTATTGTAACGCGTACATTGTCAAAATTAATGTCTTTGAGATGAAATTTACCAATCTAAGTGTACTGCAGATGTTCAGGTCCAGACCTGTGCCTAAATACGTCAGTGAAGGTTAGAAATCCACTTAATAAGATACGACAAAAAAGAGTAACTAAGAAAAGGTTGCGGATGCTACTTAAAACGTCTGACCATTTCCAAAGGCATATCCAGTTGAGTATCTGAGTAACTGTTTTTTTTTTGCTGTACCTAAATAATTATACAGTTACAGGTAATAAGTACATGAGGGACCGACATTGTTTTGTAGTCTCTTTTCACACCAGATTGTATCTGAAGTAAATATATATCTATGACTAACATCTGTGTCCATAATATCACCAGGGCCCATAATATCGCCACCTTGAGAAATAGTGTGCTTGAAGATATTTTTACTGCAACATAATTATGGTGTGCACTCCTTCACACATCAAATGCACATACCTAGGGTATGTTGCAGTAAAAGAATCTTTAACCACACTATTTCTCAAGGTGGTGATATTATGGGCCCTGGTGATATTATGGACACAGATGTTAGTCATAGATATATATTAAGATTAAGATTAAGCTTCATTAGCATTTTCGCATTAATTATGCAAATTAGGTCATCATTTGCATACTTAGTATCTGTTGATGTTCCATCTGCCATAGGTTACATACATGTATGAAAGTACTATAATGTAAAACACTGTAATCATAAAATTTCCTCATTAATTATGCAAATAAAGTCCTTATTTGCATAATTTTCATTTAATCATGTACATCTCTCTTTTAGCTACCTACCTACCAAAAATGATAAAAATACATTGTTCCTATCTGGACTTATTGGCTTTCAAAGATTTCATCCGAAGGTCCCCTGCAGTTCAAAAACAAGCTGCTAGGGGGAGCAAACCCACACCACTTATTCCTGACAGGATAATCTATCTGTCACCAAAAATTCAAGACCATAGCATGTTCAGGACAAAAGATACAAAACCCGGAAGTTCTGCTGCAGTACCAAGGTCATCCACCAGGAGGCCCATATTTGACCTTGACCTTCGTCTTCCTAAGACTTACCAGCATACCAAATATCATCTCAGTCCATAAAGGCGTTATAAAGTTATTATAGTTATATATGCTGACTACAAATTTGCCTTAACACAAACACACAGACAGACAGACAGACACACACACACACACACACAGACGCGACAAAAACAATACCTCCATTTTTCATGGTAATAAGCCTAGCTGAGCATCACATTGGCTCCATACGTCTGTTCTGACCCGGTAGTGGTCACAACAGACATGCAGCACAGTAACCACTCCTATTCCCGGGCACACAATTAGTGTGCTGTTAGATACGCCTTATCAATCTTACTAAATGCGGCAGTCAGATGAACGCGGGAGATTACCATGGAGGGAAGGAAGTACGCAGGACGCTCCTACAGGCAACAGGAACTGTCCGCCGCTGCGCGCAGCACACAGAGTCTGTAGAACGGGAGTTGACATGTTTTAGCACCACGCTGTATCAGGTAAATATCACCTCTTCTCAGTTCTTACTATGATGACATCCTTAGACATGTCAGGGATTCAGTTGTTATTGCACATACTTCATGATTCAGGCGGTATAGTTAGGGGAACTGTAGGTAAACGCTACGCTATCTTTGCGGCATGGCTGAAATAACCCTGTACAAGGAATCGGATGTAACTCAATCTAAAGCTTCAGGACCAGAATGCCAATGGGAGGGAAGTTGGCGTAGCGTTAACTTGTGCATGCATTAACTCCCGCCAGACTGAAGGGACAACCCAACATGTGTTGTGCCTCAGTATCCAGTCGTGTTCAGCTTATGTCCGTTTTCAAAACTTCTGTAATAATTGTGCATTAAAGGAACCCAGCGCCATTTCAGGGAAGTAAAACTGGAGTTTCAACGTCAACTTCCGTCATTTTTAATGTAGTAAGTTGAATCAACCCTATCCCATGGCATGCTGATATCTGTGGCAAAACTATGATTTCACGGACGGAAAATAGTTGCTTGTTTGTATTGAAGCTGGTTCTAGCTCAGATTTATGGATGGTACCAAAATTAATAGAATCATGACTCCTAACGTAGTTTATTTCTGGGCATGTTTTGTGTCATATCGGACAGAACATGTTTGCCTGCCGCCCTGTATATTGAATAAATCAGCGTATTGAATAAATCAGCCTCAAGTTTCAATACAAATGTCTATTTCTGTAACTCTATACACGTATTTCGTCTTTACAATAAAACTGATATGATATTCCTTTTCATTGTAAGGCACGTCTTTGGTATTATTATGATCAATACGAATATGGCTTGGGCAAAGAGAAATGTTCTGAGGCATATTTTCTGCAACTTGAGACGTCTTCTGCATGATAATTCTTAATCATGATGTTGAATGATATGAGAGAGTCACATGGCAAGATTTCACTCAATCAGTGATAGCAGATGGTATCCACACATGTGTCATGTAGGAGTCACTCACATTCCTCTATATTCCCATATGTCAACATGGATGTTCTATATCGCCTTCCGGTTCATGATGATGATTCTTTATTCATCAATTTTACACTTCCCATAATGCCTAGTAACGGTCACGGATATGACGTAAGACCACACCCCTCCCCCTTCCTCGATGTAATATTTCCAACAAGTTCTATCGACAAACTGGTCAACTATTGTTTTGAATTTTTTCTCTAGTATAAAGCGCATGCCATAATTGCATTTTTGTTGGAATTTGAGAAAATGACGTACCTTCTATCCTTCTAATATACGTAATGCGACCGTGCGAGTAGGAGAGTCTTCGGTAGAAGGTAGAACGATAGAAGGTACTCTTTGTATTCTCTAATTCCAACAAAAATGCAATTATGGCATGCGCTTTATACTAGAGAAATAGTTCAAAACTACAATAATTGACCAGTTTGTCGATAGAACTTGTTGGAAATATTACATCGAGGAAGGGGGAGGGGGTGGTCGCTACTAGGCATTATGGGAAGTGTGAAATTGGTGAATTGACACAACAAAAAGTGCAGGGACTTTTGTATGGTCTTTTACAACTAAAGATCTAACAAAGTTAAATACATGTGTGGATAACCGTCATCCTACGTACAGAATACAATGTATATGTATGTGGCAAATTACATACAGAATATATATCAGTGGTAGCAATACGATACGATACGGTAGCAATATAGGTTTAACTATTCACTAACATGAAGTCTCTAGGATTGAAGCATTCTTTAATGTATTTTCCTATTTGAATACTGTATTGGTTATCTATAGGATCTAACGTATTGAAATCAATTGAGCAAGTGGAAAGAAAAGTGAACAGTAATAGGCGCTTATCATTGTAGAGTGTACAATCCATTATAATGATGTAAGAGACATATTTACCTCGTAGAGGATGAAGTCCTTGCGCGGGAAGGTTCTGTTTTGGGTCACATTTGTGTGTTCGCAGCTAGAACTCATGGTGATTTTGACCGATTAGTCTGACTTTTGGTATAGTAACTGAGGCCCAGATGATGTGCATCAATTTTGTGTATTTTATCTCTGACTGAAATAATTTAACCCCCCTCGCTGTATGTGGTATGGGATCGTCTATTGTTAAAAGCTATGATCAAAAGCCAGTATGGTTCTACAACTTTTACAGAGATGGGGTGAGCAGGTCCCGATAGAAAACTGCAATAAGGCCACACGGACTTAATTCTATTGATGACATCTGCGCCCGCATTGATTTTCGCCTGTTCTAAAAAAAAGAATTCTTAAGATCACGTCCTCTGAGGCTCTGGCCTAGGTAGTCCATTGTAGTTAGCGACAATACTGAGCCGGTGGTAACTCTGGAGGATGGTATCCAGGCTACCAAAGATCAATGGACATATCAAGAACTCAGTACATACATACAGTGCCGATTAATAAATTCCTCAAAAAAACAGAATGTGCTGGCTTGTCGTATACATTGCTAAGTACTGCCGCAAATTCACAATACCAGCTTTGTATTCCTGTGGTTTAATTTTAGTCCTGCATTTTTATTTGGCCGGAATTTTTTTTTTCGCCCGCGCGCACTATTTTTGGGGCCTTACGAGGATGTCATCCATAAAATTAAGGCGGTGTGGCCTAATTCACGATTACTAAGGCGTGTCCAATTAAAGGTCATTTACCGTAAATCAGGTTATTGAGGCCCCTATGAAACATAGCGATTTGGGTATTTAAACAAATTTTTATGTACGAGCTCATATTGTAATCATAACCCTGTACCCAGGTACCCCTTGATATATGTAGGGTTTAGGTAAAACGTAACTCTTTGTAGTTGTATTATAACTTATGCAGTCTATATTACTTTGATAGGCCTTTTTATAATATGTAACTCACTGCGTTGAATAATCAAGGAGGTTCAATCTTGATAAAACGTCCTTGGTGTAAGGCCGTGAAGTCATCCAAGGCGCTTTACATGTGGTTTACCCCGAAGCCGATTTCAAGTGGCTCCATCTGAACGCTCCAAATCACATTGAAAGCGCCTCGATCCCAAACCACTTGTAGAGGCGGTTTCGAATCGGTTTTCCCGCATCGCGATTTGCGTCTGAACGCAATGTGATTTCAATGTGACTTCACCTGGTCATGGATTACGGGGTGATATTTATTTATTTATATGCAATACCAACTTTTATGTGGCAGCAAGTTAAAGAGCAGTAATGGTCAAATAATGTGTCCGTTCTAGGGCGAGCTTCACCGCCTCTGGCGGGACCACGTCGGCATTCGGCCGAGATACGCTGGGAGGGGGGCACCAGCAAGCAGGTCATTGATCTCTGGCATTAATAACACGCCACCTA